CTTTTCTGATGATAGACGGGGCAATCATGATATTCATTCTTTGGTATTACAATGAAAGGGTTTGGATTAATACAAGTGTCTCGTTTGCAACTACTAACTAATTGTCGTTTTCGGTCGTGAGGCCCCATCAAAGGGAAGTAAGCTTGATTTGTTTGTGCCCATACTTTTTTTTTTGGTTGAAATTTGTGCCCATACTTGACGTTGTTATAAAGCTATAATGGATAAAAATTGAAAGAAAGAAATAATTCGTAAAGATGACTCTCCACAATAATTAGTGATTACTTTATTGAATTTTAATAGAGACATATGCACATGCCTTATGCCAAACCACCCTTCCTTTTTCATTCCCTTTTATTTTCCCTTCATTTTTCAACAAAATCCCATCACAAAAAAAAAAAAAAAATTGTTAAAGGTGCCTTTTTCGTGGATAAAACCTAAACTTTTAATTTGCTAGGACCTTTGGTTCTAACTTCTTTTAAAATTTAGTGAAGATAGTTATTTTTCGGCTGTCAATTTAGTGGGTGATCATTGAGGCGAATGTCGTTATGTTGCATAGAAATTAAATAAAATTTGTTGCAAATAAAAGCTTTTACTAAATCGTGACCAAAAAAAAGAAAAAACAAAAGGCTTTTACTAAATAACCTTTTCACCGTGTACAGATTATTTAGATAGATTGCTCAATTGTGTACAAATGATCTACAAAACATCATGATATTATATTTTCAGAGTCTGTTTCTGTTTCACTTCAAGTAAGATTCAAGGGGGTTTCACTAGTCTAACATTTTGGTAAGTAGCGTCAGTAAATCCAATGAGGTGATTTCGATTTTCTTTTTTTAGATAGCATCAGCATATTACATAAATTAATATGATTATGTTGCTTTAGTGAATGACATGAATGTCATGTTTTTATTTGTAAATAAATTAATATATATCCCCATATGAGTTTTGCACTTTATCAACGAAAAGAATGATGAGAAACTATTATCAAAAAGTTTCACGCCCAAAATTTCATTTTGACACGCATAATAGAGAGAGTCCATGGCCAAAAATCCTTACGCTCTCACGCAAGCTAATTATGCTTTCGTTAAAATCTTATGTATTGTCTATTCTTTTTTGATGTGGAATGTTTTTGCCGTTTTAACAAAATGTTAGGTCAAATAAACGTTATCTAGTGACTAGTGCTATTACCCTAGTTGATTTGGTTGAATAATTTGTGTCTTCAAGTAGATTCATTCTTTCACATATAACAATGATAGTTTATTCTGTCCTATAAAAACTTTGAATCAAAAGTTCAAAAGCTTATGATTGTTTAAAGAATTACCTAGGTACGGCGTTTACAAGGCCTTGTCACAATTTTTTTTTCATAATAATGTGACATGTACGGCGTTTACATTTTAAGAAAACAATAACAAGCACACAAAACTTATATTACAGAATTTGAAGCAAGCTTTAAGTCAAAACTTGTGGTGGTTCACAAAAAGTAAGGATGTCACTGGATGAAATTCCTCAAAAAACAATAGTGTGTATGTATAAGTTTTGTTCTCTTAATTAATGATGACCCATTTCCCCCACAAGAACCTTTAGGGTATGTGGTCTCCCTTCTCTCCATTCCACTATAAAAAAATATGGTTTTCTATAATTTAAAATATAGACATATGGTCACATTCATCTTTTATTCGTTACCATCGTTTTCATTAGGTTGCGCTCTCTGGACCTCCTTTGCAAAGTTATTACACTTTTTTTTTGTTAAAAG